TAATAGCGTGCGTCCTAGCTTGAGTTATCCAGCTTGTATCCTATTTGGCCGTATAAATTGACCAGGTTGCGTAAGACTTCGATTCCCGTGGATGCCGTAGCATAAAGTTAAACGTTATAATTAGACGTTTTTCATATCGTGGGGTGTTTCTTCTAGCGCTTTGCCTTAGGAACCTAACTCCGAGGCAGAAAATTGTAAGCAAATATACGTAATGGCGGTTCGCTGTTGCTACGTCCCAGGGGCGGCATCGTACTTTGCAGTAGTCGCTGTGCCGGACCTCAGCCCTTAAAACTCTGGTAGTATTGTCGCATTGTCACATTAAAACAAACCTCCACTGCCTCATTTAACAGCTTTCCCACTTTTAAATAGTTCCTTCTGTTTACTTAACCCTTCTTCTTGCCTGTAGAAAAATGTCGTGAAGGTGATTTCCAATGTGGAAGTGGAGAATGTATTCGTCCACAACAGCGGTGTGATGACAGAAGAGATTGTGTGGATGGCTCCGATGAAGTGAACTGCAGTACGTCTACAACCTCCTGACTGCTCCTGCAAACTTTTTTTTACGTTTTTAGTCCAAACATAGTAGAGCCTTAAATGCGCTTTTGGCACTAAAGTGATAGCAGCTTTTGATTGGACAACACAGTCTTTGCTGGTAATGTCCTTCTGACTATCAATTCTTTCTACTGATGTGTATCCAGTTAGGAAATAAATTTTGGGGGTCTGAGTAGAACAAAACATGCAACGTCGGAGAACTTGGATGAGTAGTACAATCGTAGGATTTAAACAGACAAAGCCTTAATTAGTAAAATGGATATGGGGACGAATTTCAGAATTCCGTTGTGTGCGCTTCATAGAAATGGCTTTATTCGAATAAGAAAAGGAATAAAGGAAGCTGTCGATATTTGGGCTTAATATACTGGTGTAAACACCTTCCGGGCCAAATCCATTCACAGGACCAGGAGTCTTCTTAAATTCTTACAAAGAATCAGAGACTATGTTATCGATTTCTCCTTAAAAGACTAAGTTTAGTTGATGTTTGGTGAATATAGGAATGTTGGTAAGGACTGACTGAATAGAATAAAGCTTTCTCTCAAACACATGTTAGGTTGTTGTGTATCAGTTCCCAAGAGGTACATTCTGACCCATGACCTTCTGATCAACACGTTTAGACGAGTTTAAGTGTATGTTGTCGGGGAGCGTAAGCTTAATTCATCACGATTCAACGTAATATTGGAGGTGAATTGGTCCGCCACAAATTACAGACATATCCAACGCCGGTTGGTTTCAGCAAAGCCTTTGGGTTTTCTACCAGTAGTGTTCTGCTTCACTCTCCTTAACAGATAAGTCCTCACAAGCTATGGATTCATCAAATAATTATGCGCATGCGTCACAGGGCAAGGTTTTCTTACATGCACTTCACAAAAGTTAGCGTTCAGGGATCGGGTTTCAAACTGAAACTGAAATACCGTCGATCGAATGAGAGAACCGCCATCCACACGTCCTTGAAAATCAAAACTCTTTAATTTAGCAAATTGCAAGATTTTGGACATCTACTTTCATTTCCTTCAACTTCCTTTTGCCTGTAGTGAAGTGTCGCGAAGGCGACTTCCGATGTGGCAGTGGAGAATGTATACGTCCACAGCAGCAATGTGATGGCAGGCGAGACTGTGCGGATGGCTCCGATGAACTGAACTGCAGTACGTCTATCTTCCCTCATTTCCCCTCGTAAATGTTTTGTTACTTATCCACGTTTCAGCACAATCTACCTTCTTCAGTTCATTTTGTCTTGGACATTTTCTTCCCGCGCAATGCATTAATAAAGATTGTCTCTGTAGGAAAGAAGCTGAGCCTAAAAATCCGTGTAAAAACCTTTGTCCTTAAATATCCCCATTTCAATAGTACTGATTTATCAACGGAGATCAAGCGACGGCTCTCGGTACATTTGCTTGTCAGTTTTTCATACTCTAGTGGCAGTTTAAGTTATGCCGTCTTATTTATCTTTCCAAATCATGCCACATTCAACTGTGCTTATAAGATTATACATAGTTGGGAAGGCAATTCAATGGGCGCACCTAAAAGCATTTGGCAGCTGTATTGGGTGAACATTCGCTGAGAGCAAACATAGATGTCCAGTAGTGTAACCATTAAGCTCTCTTGGACACTTTGTACGTGGTGAATCTACCAGTAGTATTTTAGCTAAAAACTTTGAACGACAGTCGGATGTCTCGGGCGTCCATATCTGGCCTCGGATCTTGTGTACTCACACGTCTCGCAGCGTTCCAGTGTGCTTCACACGAACCGTCTTGGCATTCCTTCTGATGTTGATGTCTATTATTGAAGGCTACAATAAGCAAAATAGACTTTGCCGATATATTTCCTTTTTCTTGATATTTAGCAAAGTGTCTTGAAGGTGATTTCAAGTGCGCCAGTGGAGAATGCATCCGCCCTAAGCAGAGGTGCGACGGAAGACGCGATTGTGCTGATGGCTCCGACGAAATCGATTGTGGTAAGTCGTACACGCTGTGACTGTCCGCTAAGGAGCAGCCACATCCCCTTTCTGCGTTTTTACAGGCAGCCTCGCCTCAGCCCACTTCCCTGTAAAAGTACAATTCCTAAGGGCAGTTGGCGAGCCTACGTTAACTTTCGATGAATTCTCATCAGACAATTTTATTGGCATGGGAACGGGGTCAAAGGTAAACATGTAGTCAATTATGCTTGTCATTCCACACAAATGAGTCATGGGAATAGGGGAGGGGAGATTAGCGGTCGATAAGTGTCGGCTGGTTACGCAGCTGTGAAGGTTTGTTGGAGCCAGTACAGGGGGGCGAGGGGGAAGAGGTGAGAGAGCGCGCATAGAAACCCATGCAGTGAGGTGAGCGTTGGCCATTATTTGCTGGGGATTTTCGCAAATTTAAAAGACACTTCGTCAAGGCGTTGACTACAGACCAACAAAACATTTCGTTTCACTAAGCAAAAACCTCAACTCCGCCGAAACCGTTATAAAATTATGAATTTTGACATAGAGGACTGCCTTCCTCTTATGCCGGAGGGAAAGGTAACT